GAACTAACCAGTTTGCAGGCAAAACTTAGAGGTAATAGAGAAGTGCTAAAATTTGTATGGTTGGATAATAAATAATTATTATTAAAATAATTTATTTTATTTTTTGTAGTGGGGATTTAACCCAGGGGCATTTAACCAATGAGGCACATCCCCAGCTCTTTTTGTTTTTAAGATAGGGTTTCACTAAGTTGCTTAATGCCTTGATACGTTGCTGAGGATGGCTTTGAACTTGGGATCCTCCTGCCTCAGCCTCTTGAGTTGTTGGGATTACAGATGTGTGCTACCACACCTGGCAAGTATTTTTAATCTTTAGTGTATCAAGCCAGTGAAATTTCTTAATATTGTCTCAATGTAGCTTCTGAACTTAGTTAAGAATCAAATTAAATATGTTGCCTTAAGGTAATGCCTTGTAGACATCCCCCCCCCCTTTTTTTGGTACCAGGGATTGAATTCAGGGGCAATCAACCTCTGAGCCACATACCCAGCCCCCCCTTTTTTTTCTTTTTTTTTTCTTTTTTGATTTTATTTAGAGACAGGGTCTCACTGAGTGGTTAGCACCTTGCTTTTGCTGAGACTGTCTTTGAACTTGTGATCCTCCTGCCTCAGCCTCCCAAGCCTGCACCACCATACCTGGCTGACTTTCTCCTGTTGATAAAGAATTTCTACTCCAAAGCAGCAATGATTAAATATAAAGAGAAGCATACAGCATCTTTAGAAGAACTGAAGATATGGCTTTTTGATCATAAGCACACTCAATCAGATGCATTTAAAGTCCATAAAGCTTCCAAAGAAACTGCTGCAAAAAGAAACTGAGCCTATTCAAAATGTAGAAAATATTCTAGGCTCCCAATATCCACCTTACCTGTAAGCTAACTAAAGGTTTCCATTACACATCATTAAGGGGTTTTGGCTGATCATTTAACAATATTATTGAGACAATGATAACCAACACAAGCCCATGACATATGCAAATTCAGTGCTAAGGGCTATAGATACAAGAATGAATGATACAGATTCATTCAATCCCTGTCCTCTTGCTGTGCAGTGAAGTATGGGAGCATGGCGGCAGGGATGGGGATGGGGAATATGAAAATGCATCTTGGATTGAGAATTTAATGATAATTGAGAATAAAAAGAGAATACTTAGGGGAAAAAATGAACATTTTTCCCAGGCTGGGTAGATTTTGGTCTAAAAAGTGTTAGGAAATTTTTCTGGGAGTATAGGAAGGATAAATAAATATCTCAAGAATAAAGACAACCTAACTAATTAGATTGAAAGGGATGGGTGGTGATGAAAAAATGAGCATAATGTCGGAGAAGGAGGTATGAGAGTTCAGAATACAGCAAAACACAAAAGACAAACCAGTTTAGCTAGAACTTCAAGTGTAAGGGAAAGTGAACAGAGAGTAAGAAGCCAGACCTGTGCTTTGTAAACCTGCTAAGGAGCTAAGCTCTCAAGTTGAAGCAAATGGAAGGGAGTCCTTTTAAATAGCTTTAAATCACTCCAGTAACCTTGGAGAGATGAGATAGTGGTTTGAACTAGGAGAAATAGATAGATTTCTCCTAGAAAGGCCCTGGGTTCAATCCTCAGCACTGTAAAAATAATAGAACAATAAAATGAAATGTAGACTCTGTCTTTTTAGAAGACCTAAAGTATTTACATTAGGAATTTGATGCCACTTACATTTCCTTTTAATATTTTCCAGGATTTTATTTACCATATTTTCTTTTTGTTTTTTTTAAATGCCTCCTTTACCACCATTCTTCTTAGATGGACAGACTATATTAGAATGTGTAGCAAAATCAAAATTTTCAGATAGAACAACTGTGGACAGAATTTGTGAACATTTAAATCCATGGAGTCATGGGATGCATAGAAAAAAAGGTTATTCAGCTTCATTTTGTAAAACATTTGACTTCCTTCAAATTATAGGGATTTTTCTGAGAGTCCATAATACCGACAGGCTATTGCTGAGTTATTTTTGATCTTCTGGTTTCTATTGATTCACTCTCCTAATTTTCATACTTCAGGGAGAAAAGAATACACTTGTTTGGTCGCATTTTGTTTAGGCCTGGAGTAAGATTTTAACTCTATTACACAAAATTCTTAGATTTCCAAAATGGAGGTTTTGATTGCTCTTTTAATGCTTTTTAATGAAACTCCTGATCTCTCAGCTATTTTTTTTAATCTAAATATGACCAAGAACACACTAGTGATGCCATCCAGTTCATTTAGTTTCCTTGGATAAAACTGGAGAAGCAGTTTGATTTTGAATTATTACTTTTTTTAGTTATGGCTTTATATTTATCCCTAGAGAGAATGTGTGAATAGCACAATGGATATAGAAGAGAGGAAGGAAGACCTCTTCTCAAAGACAATATACATATGAGTTAATGAACAAGATCAAGCCTGATTTTGGAAATAGAATTTTTGCTGTGGGAGAGCAACATTGTAACTCTGCCTGTGCCTTTGTAATACTGAGCACTCACCTGCTTTATGGCCAGATATCTTGAGCCAATCTTACTTGTACTGAAAGAACTATTAGTTTTAAAATTATTTTTGGGAACTGAGCCTTCCAGAACAATTAGTTAAGGGTCTTATTAAATTAGTAGAAATGTAATGGAAATTCCTTTATAAGTCAATGCCTGAAGGTGCTTCCTAGAGTGTTTGTATGTATGGCTGTTAATTAAAAAATGAAAGGGTGGTATAAAATATAAATACATAGTACAGAATAGTTTCTAGTTCACTGTAGGATTTCAAAGTAAGGATACATTTATTTGAATTCTAGAGTGCTAGAATTTTTTTTTTATACCATAGTTAGTATAGTTATATAGTTTAACGAGCCAAAACATGAAGTTGGAAAGAGAATCTTTAGGACCACACTAAAATACTAAAGAAAAATCAACATATAATCTTCTCTAAGACTCAGGGCTTTTTTTCTTTCTGATTTTAACAGTAAGAATTCAGCATGTGATAGTTAGCAACATAAGGTAATTGTCAACTTAGCAATTATCACTGTATGGTTTTTATTGTAACTAGTGTATAATCCAGAAGGCTTCAATTCTGAAGAAAGTCTGTGCTGTTGGAAACAGAAAGTTGCTTCATGTCAATTTTCTCCAGGTGCTAGAGGCACCCTTGTGTGCAGGAGATGAAAGAGTAAGAAGAAAAGCCTGTAGCAAGGAAAAGTGAAGGTAGGAAAAAAATGACACGGCAGAGAGCAGCTGAACTAAAAAGAAGGAAAAAGAACAAAAGATTGAAAAGACAAACAAGGAGGAAAATAACCTTAAAAAAGAAAAATGACATAAGGAGAAAAAAGGGAATTATTTTTTGGAACTATTTTTTTTTCCAAGGGAGCTTTGCTAATAATACATTAGGGCTTTGAAATAAGATATTTGAGTCTTCTTAAAATAAAAATGAAATTAAGGCCATGAAATATTTGTGAAATTGATATAAACATTTCTGGTGTCAAATCACGGATAGGTACTTTATTTGTGTTATTTTTCAAACTCAACTTCAAAAGGCACTTAGATACTCTAATAATTTCAATGCAACATGTATTCACTCCTTGAAAAATTTTTGACACTAACATTGAGCTTTTAAGAATTTCATCAACTAGTTTCTTAAAATAAAAATAAAATCTCAAAATCAGTATTATTAGAAAGGAAATCTCTAATAATTCTATATATTTAATTTGAAAAAAAATTGATCAATTACCCTTAATGTCAAATAATACCACTCTGAGAAAATTGTTTTACTAATATTTTGATTATCCAATGCATTTCATTAAGTATTAATGAATGGGTAATTAAATATGAAGTATGCATTCAACCTTTAACCTACCATATAAGAAATTCATTCAGAAAAATAATTAAGACTTTAAGGAGCTAACTAAGAGAATCTATCACATTCTTTGGAAATTTGGTGGCCTTCAGAACTTTGTAAAGAAAGTTGAAAGTTTTGCATGAATTTTTACCGAGAAAATTGCATAATGTTGTAAAATTGCTGTTTTAAATCACATAAAATCCTGTTTTCTTATTGTTGACCTATTCTTCTGTTATCAACTTGACTGTAATTTCCTTGAAAGTGATAATGAGGTCATAGTTTTTATAGAATACCTAACCAGTAGTGCAGTTTCTGGCACTCAATAGGCACTTGCTGCATGCTTGATGAAGGAATTTATTTTATAGCTTGAACCAATTATTTAAGAAAAAATCTACTACTTCTACTGTGCAATAGAACTACCTATTGCATTTATAGGAACACTGAAAGGAAATTTAAGTGTTTAAAAATTTTGCCCAATCTCTAAAAGCCTGAAAAGTACTTTATAAAATATTAAAGGAATTATAAATTGATACTCCTTAAAGTAAAATCTCCCTATCTGATCTACTTTGGATTGGTAAAAAAAACAGGAGTAGAAAGAGACGAGTAATAAAGAGAATGAGGTGCTCTATATGCCAAGAACTGCACAAAATTATAATTCCCATGTAAGTGTTCCAAAGGGCTGTTCTTTTGGAAACCACAGTGAATTCAACAGGGTATCCTATTTCCAGACCATATCTTGAAGAATATTACATGAATAACTGTATAGACAATAAGAACTGATTTTTCTTTTAGTTTTCATCCTCTGCCTCATTTTGACAGAATAAATGTATGCATGGGAAACAATCTTACATGTAAGTCTTCTTTGCTGATTAACCAAGCCTTGTAGAATCCAAATCTACAACTATTTAATTTTCAACAAACATTATTTTTTCATTAAAAGATAAAATCTTTTTGAGGAAAAAAAGATGTTTCCTTTGGGCAGATACTCTTTGAAATATGAGTAAAATACTTACTTGTAAAGCAAAAGCTCCTGGCAATATTCACATATCAAAATGATTCACTTTCGTGAACACAGGTGAAGTTTACAACTTTCTACCCCTTGAGTTATATGCTATCAATTATCCTGCATAAATAATAATATTTAACACATAAATTTTAGATAGCCAGTGGGACTTACCTTGAAAAAAGTCATGGTTGCACCATCCTCTACTGCTCCATACTCTATCTTGGTTTGTTTAGCTAAATCATCAGCAGAGTCAATAGGAGATTCCATGCGTTCCACTGTCAGAAAGGCGGCTAAATTAGCAGTATACGAAGAAATGATGATAAGTGTGAAAAACCACCAAATGCCTCCCACTATCCTGGTGGAGAGCGCTTTGGGCATGAGCTCAGAACCTAACAGAGATTGGGGGAAAGGTGAAACGAATACAGAGAATTTGATCAGCAATCAAATACTTTTGGTCACAGTGGCAGAATGGAATCACCGTGTAATAAAAGCTTATGTCACAGATTTACATATTGCTTTAGTAAGCAAGCAACAACCATTGGGAGAGCAGAAGCTAATTTCAGAAAACAGAGAATTCTCTAGGATGTTTACTTATAGTGACAGGAGACTCTAGCTCTACCTGAGAAGGTGTAGTTAAAATATTAATGAGTTAAATTCTTTGTAAAATTAGCATTAAAAGAGAGAAGGAAAAACTTTCCAGTTTATAAGCCACATGTGTAGATTATCATATTGTTATTATTTTTGTGGATTTCAGAGGAAATGACTTAACATATGCTCACATCCATTTTTTTACAACCTTCCTGTAGTTTCATTTTTTCGTGTGCAAGTAGCACAAATATTTTATCTATTTCATCACTTTAAAAAGTAATGGTGTATAATAGTAAAATAATTTTAATTACCCACATTCTTTAGAGATGATGTGGGGCTTTAGCCCAGTATTTATTTTAATATGAGGTAGCAAATAATTTTCTACTTCATATTATAATTGTATAAGCAAATATCTCCCATCACTATGGTTAACCTCGATGAAGTAAGTTAGGGTAACAATAAGTAGTCAAGTTGTTACAAATTTATTTTTATACATATATATCACATTTCATATATATATCAAAATATATGGCTGGAGTTGTCTGCCCATGGTATAAATAAAAGAATAGGATCTAGGAATTAGATTTTACCTTTGATTATTATTAATTTTAATTCATTTAGGTTATAAAATAAAACCCTAGCAACTTTAAAATTTGGTCTTCTATGAATTAAATTTTATTATAATTTTACCATATTATTTACATATTTAATGTTGAAGATATATCAGAATGTGGGGTTTTTTATTAAAATGTAAATTAAATTTGTGGATGTATGTATAAAATATATCACCATTCACTTTTAATCATTTTGAATCTATAATCAAAAAGTACATAACTTTTAATAGGGTTTGAGTAAAATGGAATGAAGCAAAGATGGACTCCTTTTGCTGATTTGTTTTATAATCAGATCTTTGATATGATTACTGATGCAGTAAGGTAACACATCTTTAGATGGAAAGAAAAAATAAAATTATTCATGTTAACATTGAAAAGTAACATTGAAAACTAATGATTGTACTATATAAAAACAGCCCATCTTGCACTGCAGTTCATCTTACCCTTTCAATTTAAAACAAACAAACAAAATTTT